AATTTTCCAGAGCGGTTGTACCATTTCACTTTCTTACATCACTTGATATTGTTACACTTTTCATTTCTGGCAACTTGATGAATGTGGCTTGGTATCTCATTTCCAGTGAGTTAAGTGTCTTTTCATACCTTCCTCTGTGAACTACCTATTTGTATCCTTTTGCACACTTTTTTCCATTTGATTTTTTATATATATTTTCTATTTATTGATTTTAGAGAGAGAGGAAGAAAGAGAGAGAGAGAAATAGAAGCATCAGTAAGAAAGAACATCTATTGGCCACCTCCTACATGCCCTCTACTTGGGATTTGGCCCACAACCTGGGCATGTGTTCTGACCAGGAATCGAACTGGCGACCTCTTGGTGCATGTGTCAATGCTCAACCACTGAGCCACACTGGCCGGGCAGATTTTTAAAAATATTTTTCAGATTAATTTGTATTATTGTAAGGTGATCAGGTTTCTTTATATATTCTGAATAATTTTCTTGTTATATGTGTTGCAAATATATTTGTCCAATCTACAGTTTGTTGTTTTGTTTTATAATGTCTTTTGTAGTGTAGAAGTTGGTTTTTTAATTTAAAAAAATTATAGACAAATTCATCAGTCTTTTGTGGTTAGTGTTTTTTTTCTCTTAAGGTATTTTTCTTTATCTCAAGGTCATAAAAAATTGTACATTTTCTACTAAAATATTTAAAGCTTTGCTTTTCCGATTTAGATTTTCAGTTCACCTGAAATTTATTTTTGTATGGTGTGATGTAAAGATCTAATTTTTAACCAGTTAAGCAATTATTCCAGCATCACTTATTATTATTCATAGTTTATCTTTTCCCCACTGATTTGTAATGCCGTTGCTATCACATGTTACATTTCCATATGCATGTCGTCTGTTCTGGACTTCATTCCGTTCCATTTCTGATTTGTATATCCTTGTGCCAATGCAACAGAGTTCTAAATAGTATGATGTTATAGAGAATTTTGCTAACTATGGGCAAGTCCCACACCTCATTTTTCAAAATAGCTGTGGATATTCTTGGCTTTTTCTAGCAAGTGAATTTTTATAATATGTTTTTATTGAATTTTAGAAAGAAAGGAAGGCAGAGGAAGATAGAGGAATGTTGATGTGAGAGAGATACATAGACTGGCTGCCTCCTGCACGCACCCTACTGGGAATTAAGCCTCAAACCCCAGCATGTGCCCTGACTGGGAATCGAATCGGACTGGGAATCGAACTGGGACATCTCAGTCTATAGGACAATGCTCGCCCTGGCCAGTTTGGCTCAGCGGTTGGAGCCTCGGCCTGCGGACCAGGGTCCTGGGTTCAGTTCCCGCTAGGGGCACTTACCAAAAAAAAAAAAAAAGATATTTGTATAGGACAATGCTCAATCCACTGAGCCACACTGGCCAGGCTAGCAAGTAATTTTTTTTTTTATCCTCACCCAAGGACATTTTTTCATTTTTTGTTCAGATAGAGTGGGAAGAAGAGAGAGGAACAGAGAGAGAGAAAAAAACATCGACGTGAAAGGGACACATCAAGTGGCTGCCACCCGCACGACCCAACCAGGGCCGGGGACAAACTGTAACCAAGATACGTGCCTTAGTGGGAACCAAACTCTGGTCTCCCTGGACCGCAGGCCAACGCTCTAACCGCTGAGCCAAACCGACCAGGGCGCAAATGAATTTTTTAAATGGACTTGAAATAGACTTATCAATTCAATTTCACCATCACCTAGTCAAATTCCATAAAAAATCCTATTGAAATATTAATTGAACCTACATTGTTTACAGATTAACTTGAAAAGAATTAACATCTTTATAACATTTCCTTCCAGCCCAAAAATAAAGAACATCCCTCCATCTATTTAGGTCTTCATTAATGTGTTTCCTTAATACAGCTGTATAATTTTTTTTCCATATTGGTCTTGCTCATCTTTTGTCAATTTACCCTTAAATATTTAATAGTTTTATTGCTGTTTTTAATGGGATCTTTTAAAATCACTTTTTCTAATTGGCTACTCCTAAGAAACACTTTAGATTTTTGTATATTGATCTTGTATCGGGAAACCTTGTTAGTTGCAGTAATGTGGCTGTGTGCATCACACTAATAGATCTTCTCGTGCTGTTCTTTCCACGTATTCTAGGGGTAACTGTGCTGGGCTATGGCTAAATTCAATTTTCTAGTACTTTATGACTTTTAACTGGTGCCTTTGTACAAAATCTGTAATCTGAGAAACTCAATGGCTCTGCAGAGTGACTCCATCTGTCAGAGGGACAAAAGGCTTAGGCAGAGCAGACTGTTTTGGCCTTGGAACCTAGAACAGCCTTATATGCTTATACTGACCCTTCTCCGTGTGCTTTTGTGATGATTACCTTCCCTATTTTAGGTTCTTTTTAGTTTGAGCTCCATTAAGAACTCAAACAAGATTCACTACCCTGCAGGTTTGTGTAACTCTCCATGGTGCTTATCATAGTACTTAACCAAAGAGCTTCAAGCTAGGAAAAAGTTTGTATTTACCGAGGAATTGATGAGCTTCTGTTTATTAACCCATTGTAGTTTCCTTCCCCCCTCCCTCCTTCCCTCCCTCCCTCCCTCCCTCCCTTCCTTCCTTCCTTCCTTCCTTCCTTTTTTCTTTCTTTCTTGTTAATCCTCACCTGAGGATATTTTTTACAATGATTTTCAGAGAGAGTGGAAAGGAGGGAGGAATGGAGTGAGAAAGAGAGAAACAAAAACAGTGGTGTGAGAGAGACATATCGATTGGTTGCCTCCTGCACACACCCTGGTGGGCTGGGGATTGACACTGCAACCCAGGTACTTGCCCTTGACTGGGAACCGAACCCAAGACCCTTTGCTACGTGAGTCAACCCTCTAACCACTGAGCACACCATCCAGGGCTGTAGTTTAATTTTTATCTTGGCCTTCAGGAAGCTAAGAACTGAGTTTTTGCTTGAGTCTGGTTTTTATTTTTAATTAAAATTTTATTGATCTTAGAGGAAAGAAAGGGGAGGGAGAGAGAGAGAAACACTGATGTGAGAGAGAAACATTGATCAGTTGCCTCCTGCACACAACTTGACTAGGGATTGATCCTGAAACCTGGGTATGTAGCCTGACTGGGAATGGAACCAGCAACCTTCCTGTGCACACGATGATGTTCCAACCAACTGGACCATACTGGCCAGAGCTTGACTCTGTTATATAATATTATTTTTCTTTATATGTATGCCCCTTATTTATACAGGCTTCCCACATACAACCTTTTATTACACTATTATTCATATTTTAATACAGTTTTATTGTTTATATTCTGCAGTGTAAGCTATGTCAAATCTGGATAGGTGGACTTTAAATTCTAAACAAAATGAGAAATGGTCAATAAATGTTGACTGGATGCAGAGTATAAGGACTTTAAGTTGGGGTGGAGATTTTCCAAAATCATTAGTGTTGCAAATTATTTTTGATGTTTTAGTTTCTATGCCAGTGATTTTCAACCTCTTTCATCTCATGGCACACATAAACTAATTGCTATAATTCTGTAACACATGAAAAATGTATTTTTTGTCGATCTGACAAAATAATAAGTATAATTTTGATTCATTCACACTAGACAGCTATTGTATTGGCTCTCGTCATTCTTTTATTTGACAACCTAAAGGAAAAGAGGTCAGTGCCCCTAACTAAAGGTATTGCTTGTTTTAAAAATTCTTGCAGCACACAGGTTGAAAATTGCTGGTCTATGCTAATAAGTTAGGCTTTTTACACCCAATACTGTATTGAATTCGGGGAGGGGGGAATCTGATTTTATTTTCAGTTTCTGCTGGTAAATAAAGTATTTCACAACATTATAAAATAATGGTGCTTGGCATGATAATTGCACATATTACTGTTGAATATTATATTTTATTAAGTACTGAACTGGACCGCTCATGAACAGTTGCAGCCCTTTCTTTTGAGGTGAATCTAAATCTGATTTTTAAAAAATCTCTACAGGAACTCTTGTGTTCTCCGGGTTTTTGAATTCCAAGAACCCTCTTTCATGGGCATCTTCTAGGGTGGAGCTCGGTTCATTAACTCCGGGGCCATACAAAGCATTTTATTCCTTTTTTTCTCGGCCCTTACAGTCTACTCTCTTCCAAGGAGGCAAGTTGAATGCCCACTAAGTCATGGTTTTCCATTACTCATTCCTCCTTTTTTCCCAAGGTGGCGTGTGGGAGGTGTTGAGATCCAGCTCGGCAAGAATAGGCCAGAAAGCTTTCTGCGGGAGACACACTCATCCCTGTGCGTGTTTCAGTTCCGACTGCACCGCGATGGGAGGCTTCAACGTGAGCGATATTTCCGACACTGACAATGATTCCACACTCCACTGCCTCCCACGTTTATGTTAGCTGCTCCGCAGGCATCTGGACCCCTAGTCCTGCCCCGCCCCACTTCGCCAAGCTTTGTCCCTTTACAAGGCACATTGTCTGGTTGGCCAGGCGCGGCTGCTGCCGCCTAATGCGCTTCGGGGGTCGCCTAGGAGGGGACTCTGGGCACCGGCTTCTCCCACCCCACGCCCCCGCACAGGAGCCGGCTTCTAGGCCACTAGGGGGCGCACCGGCGTCTCCGCAGCGCTTCACCACAGCTCACCGTACGATTGGCCGGCCGCCTTGAGTTCTGGGCCCCGATTGGCTACTTTCCGCGTCAGTCTCGGGCGCCGGGGCGGGCCGAGGTGACGCTAGGTGGCCGGCTCGGGGCGGTGTCCAGCGCTGGCGGCTGCGGGCGGAGCTTCTAGAGGACCGACGCGGGCAGTCAGACGGCGGTGGTCCTGGGAGGCGCCCGCGCGACGACACCGAGCCGCTCGGCAGCCGCCACTGTTGGCTGGTCGTTGCGCCCTGGTCGCCCGCGCTACCGCCCTCCGTGGCCCTCGATGCGGGAGCGGGCCGCCGCGTGATGGGGCTGCGAGGAGGTGCCCTGCGGCTCGCGGCGGCCGCTGCTCGCGCTGAGGAGCGTCGGTGCTCGGCCCCCCGCACCCCCACGCGCCGCGGCGCCTGCTGACCCGGCCCGCTCGCCCGTCGGTCCGCAGGCGGCTGAGGTAGGACGGGTGGCGTTTGGCGCCACTGCAGCCTGGTTGGGGAGGGCCCGCCCGGGGGGAGGGGTGGCCGGGCCGGGGTCCGGCGGCGTCCGAGGGGAGGAAGCGTGGGGCGGGGCGGGAGCTGCAGGCACTGTGGGCGCTTCCCCACCCCGGCACGGAGTGGGTTGGGGAGCCTCGCCCGCGGGCAGTGGGGGGCCCTCTCGAGGCCAGCAGCGAGCCCCGGGCTTCGGTCCAGCGGCCTGCTGGGTCCCCGCAGTGCCCCGCACCAGCCCCCGTTTCCCTGGAGCTGCCCGGCCCCGGCGGTGCCCAGCGGCCGGCAGGCCCGCCGCTGACTCCGTCCCCGCGGCTCTGCGCGCATTGCAGCCCCGTGGGCGCGGCGCTGCTCGGTGTGGAAGCCCCCTTGCTCGTTCCCCCATCCCCTCTCCCCCATTGTGGTTGGCATCGGGGCTCCGGCTAGGAATGTGGTAGTGCCCTTCTGCCAGAGGAGGGCAGGAAAGGGCACCGGGTAGCAGGGAAGCCGATGGCGCAAGGGCTGGAGAGGGAGCGCCGCGGAAAGGGAGGGAGGGGGCTTGCTGGAGGCTGGCCAGCCGCGAGGCAGGCTGCTGTGGTCGCCGCTCCAGCCCGGGATTACTCTGGCAGCCATATTGGGAGGATGATCTGACAAATCCTTTAGGAGCCAAGTCCTGTTGCTGAAGGCACCGAGTGACAGCCCTGGCAGCTTTCAGGGTGACTAGCCACACCAGAAGCCAAGTTGTGGGGGTTGGGAGGCTGCTCCGGCAAGCTAGTCATTGTTCAGGCAGCACAAAACATTCCGGGCCTTCAAACCAGAATTGAACTCCAAAATCACTTTTTTTTTTTTTTTCCCTCCGGATGAATTGCTCACTGAGCTTCCAAGGTGAAGTGTCTGCAAGATTCCGTGCTTGTTGGGGTGAAATACTGAGTTTCTGTAGTCTTCGTTTACGGCCAGTGTTGTGGGGGGTGGGGGTTGATGATGCCTTTCTTGTCCATAGCAGATCTGAGGATTGGTAAGGTCAGTACTCCAGTATGGAAGCCTCAGTGTATTGCACTGGATGGATAGATTTTCCACAGTAGCTCAACGAGCAGTGATTAAGTAATCTGGAACATTGTGACAGTGGGAGAGGCTTGCAGCAGCATTTCTGAGCATGCAGGTTGTCATCTTTGTGGAATCTGGAGGTAGCTGAAATTAGAGTGTCAACAGATCCCTTGCTCACTGTTCTAGGCAGCTGTTCTGCTGACATTGACCATGTTGCTTTGTGTCATTGATGGGTCTGTGTGAGCCTAATGAAGATACGGTGATTGGATTTGAACAGCTCTTAAGAAGTGATATCATGGTGGATGTTTCATTTAAAGGCTGGCATTTTGTCAGCTTAGTTTAGCCATAATAATATCTTATCTAGAGTTCTTTAAACACTGAGGTGATGCTTTCTAATTAACTGGGTATGGTGGTTGGATTATGAGGCAGGGGGAGTTGTCAATGTATTGTTTAAGGATGGAATATGAAGAATGCACACATGTTGGCACTATAAAGCAGATCTGAAAATGATCACTAACTGAATTCAGTGTGAACCTGTAAATCTGTCTTTTCCTACCTCCTGGATGTGGATGCCTTCTTTGTGCCCTTTGCTTTCATTCAAACACAACTCTTAATGAATAAATTCCTATAACTTTTTAAGTTGAAAAATAAAAAATTTTCAGATAGGGTTTTCTGTTTTATTTTTTATTATTAAACTTTCCTTTTAAAATTTGGTTGAATCAGAAATGGCTTCAACAAAGGTTTTTTTCTTTTTATTTTTTTTAATATTACATGAATATAAGAGAAGTACAGAAGAATGTCTGTTTTAAAATTCCATGACCCGACTAAGAAATACTTCTAGCCCTGACCGTTTTGGCTCGGTGGTTAGAGCGTCAGCCCACGGACCAATGAGTTGCGGGTTCGATTCTGGTCAAGGGCACGTACATCGGTTGTGATTTGTCCCCAGCCCTGGTTGGGGTCGTGCGAGAGGCAGCCAGTGGATGTGTCTCTCTCATGTCAATGTTTCTTTCTCTCTCCCTCCTACTCTATCTGAACAAGAACAAAAAAAGGGAAAATATCCTTGGGTGAGGATTAAAAAAAAAGATATACTCTAAATTTTAATTTTTTAGTTACTTTATTAGTAAAAAATAAATCTGAAAATTTGTGGTTAAATATAATTTTAGTATTAGGTAAAATCAGACCTGATAGTAGATCTGATTTGGAGACAAGATTTTATGAATCTGTGCAGCTCAGTCCTGATGAATGTTTTCCCAAAATGTATCCAATTAAGTACAGCTTCTAAGACTTAGAAAAGACTGTTTTTGCTTTTCAAGACCTGAGATGAATACAGTTTTCCTTTTCACTCATTTTCCTCTTCCCCACTTTGAAATTGTGCTGGGATAAACTCCCAAGAAGAATGCCAACAGAGTGTCTCCACGGCCAAAGCTTTCTAGCCCACTTCTCTGCTGTGGTCTTGTCCTGGGTACAAAGTAGAGGACAACAATGGGCCCTTCCTTTTTGTAAACCCCTTCTCAGGCTGCTAATCACAGCAGGTCTTTTCCGTGCATAAGCATATCCTTTTGGTCTTGTAAACTGATACAATATAATTTCACAAGGCTCTGAAGTGAAAGGTATAGCATGTCTATTTCATGTAGTTCTCTTTGAAAAATGGCCTTATTGGAACAGATGCTGGTGAATTTCTGGATCCACAAGAGTGTGAATAATTATAAATATGTTTGGAACTTTTTCTCATGTAGCTCATTAGTATAGAAGATAAATGAAACAGATGTGACTATGGAAAAAAATCTGTAAAAGGTGTCTTGTACCTCTCTCACTTTTTGGGTAATGGTCCAGTGATTCATTTATGCTCACTTTTGTGACATTCATTGCTAATTAATTGAGAGTGTATATAGAGATTTAATTCTTTACCTTCAAGGAACTTACATTTTACCACTTGTAAAGATATGGTAAGATAAGGTAATTCCACCTCTTTTCCATTTTAATACAGTTGAATGTGCTGCTGCCCATGCTATGGTGGTTTCCATGATTTTCAGTCCGAGCCTTTCTCCTATAGAATACTTATTACTTTGATTTTTGTGTATATGTTTTAATATTTATTTTTATTGATTTTTAGAGAGAGAGGAAGGGAGAGGGAGAGAGAGCTAGACATGTCAGTGAGAGAGAACATGGACTGGCTGCTTCCTGTTTGCCCCCAACCAGGGATCAGGCCCACAACCTGGGCATGTGCCGTGACCGGGAATGGAACCAGCCACCTGTTGGTGCATGGGTCAACGCTCAACCCCAGACACACCGGCTGGGCTGTATATATATTTTAAATCACAAGATTGTAAATGAAGGATTTTTTTAAAATTAATTAATTTATTTTTGTTACAGATGTTTCTCTTTTTTCCCCCCACTGATTCCCCCCTCCCTCTCCCTCCCCGCCCTGTCCCCAGCTTTGTTGTCCATATCCACTGTTCATGCGTACATGCATATAAGTTCTGTGGTTTATCTCTCCCCCCTACCCCCTCTTCTGGGGATTATCAGTCTATACCCCACTTCCACATCTCTGGGACTACCCCGTTCCTCAGACTGTTATATTCATTATATTCCACAAATAAGTGAGATCATGTGATATTTGTCTTTCTCTGTTTGGCTTGTTTCACTTAGAATAATACTCTCCAGGTCCCTCCATGTCATCTCAAAGGATAAGAGATCTTTCTTTCTTACAGCTGCATAGTACTCCATTGTGTATATGTACCACAACTTTTTTATCCATTCGTCTACTGATGGACACTTGGGCTGTTTCCAGATCTTAGCTATTGTAAATAGTGCTGCTACGAATAGGGGGGTACATATATTCTTTCTGATTGGTGTTTCAGGCTTCTTAGGGTGTATTCCTAGAAGTGGGATCACTGGGTCAAATGGCAGTACAATGTTTAATTTTTTGAGGTAACACCATATTGTTTTCCATAGTGGCTGCACCAGTCTGCATTCCCACCAGCAGTGTTCTAGAGTCCCCTTTTCTCCACACCCTCACCAACACTTGTTTTTGATGATTTGTTGGTGGCTGCCATTCTGACAGGTGTGAGGTGATACCTTGTTGTTGTTTTGATTTGCATCTCTCTGATGATTAGTGATGTTGAGCATTTCTTTATATGTCTCTTAGCCATTTGTATGTCCTGTTTGGAGAGGTGTCTATTTAGTTCCTCTGTAAATGAAGGATTTTAAAATATTTTAAATAATGTCACATTGTTTACTTCAAAGCACATCATTCAACTATGCCATCCTCTACCATTGCTCTTTTGATGACTTGGATACTTGACTTAGTTCTCCTGTTCATCTGAATTTCTGACATCATCCCAGCAGATGTCAGTGACTATGTAAACAATAATAACAACAATGATAATAAAATAGCTCACTCATATCAGGCTCTTTCTATGTGCCAGGCTCTTTTCTAAGCGCTTTATATTTATTCACTAATTTTATCCTTACGGCAACCATATGAGATAGGTACTATTATCCTCATTTTACAGATGAAGAAACAGAAACAGAAGCTAAGTGACTTCCTCGGGTCACGAGAAGTAGTAAGTAACCACTATGCTGAGCTTACTTTGTTAAGTACCCATAACCTTAAAATTCCTTGACTTTATCTCAAGCAAAGGCAGGTTTCATTCTGTTCCAGTATTGTGGCCACATCTTCTAACACCTTGTCTCCTCAGATCTATTGCAGATCCCAAATTTGCCTTCAGATTTTAAACTCTAATAATTTACAGCTTTTACTTTTGTAGTCTCTTTCTGTGTGTTCTCCCAACTCCAGTCTCCTGGACCATCAGCCTCATCAAGATTTTACTTCTTTGTCTTCCTTTTGCATACTGTAACTTCTGGGGTGCATTGCTTCAGCTATTTTCTTGTCATGCAGTTTTGTTGCTGTTGTTAATCCTCATCTGAGGATATTTTTTCCATT